CCAATGAGCTAGCCTTGTTGAAGTGCACTCTTGTTGGCGATCTTCCATGCTGCGTCTCATGCTGCTTGATGTCACATAAATTTTTCATTATTTAAAGAATGTAACATACAAATAAATTATTTCTAATTTAATCTTAATAATTGTATTTTATAAAGCAATTGCAATTAGTCATTTAATTAATTATATGTATAACTAAATTAAATAATTATAACAGAATATTTAATTTATAACTATGTTTTTTTTGCAACTTGTCAATTATGATTGTTATTTTGATTTTTAATAAAATAATTTTTAAAACATTGCTATATTTATTAGATATTTAGAAATTTTATGATTCAAATTATTAATTTTCTGAATTGCTGCATCAATCCTACATCTCTTCTTTAAAATTCGAGTATAGCGATTATTATTAAATTTAATGCTATTACAAATGTAAAAACTTATATTTTCAATCTTAAATAGTGTTTTTTGAATTTTCAAATGATTGACAAATCGCTTGTAATTTTTAGATTTCCATTCTTTAATAACTTTTATATGCTAGCTATTAATATTGTGTTAGTTTAAATTTCATTATATGATTGTCCCTAGATAATATATTTAAATAAATAAGAATAACCATTTTAACGTACCTATTTATTGTAAGATAATGTAAAAAATTATTAATATTTCTCTAAGTATAAAATTTACATTATTAAACATAATTTACATTATTAAAATTATATTATTACAATATTGCACAGAGTCAATGCGCGAGTTGCTGTGTTGATACTGTTTATCGCATTATTATTTTTAAGGATTCATAATGTAAAAATTATTAATATTTCTCTAAGTATGTATAAAATTTATATTATTAGTAATATTTTTACGTACCTAATGTGAATATGTTTTAAATAATTTTTATAGATAATTTTTTCGCAGTCTTTTTAAAACTTGTGTTATGCTGCTTGTGATACAGTACTAGTTTGCGATTGGGCAAGGCCAACGATAATTCAATTTTCGCTTTAATTTTTAACTCGTCACTAAGCTAAGCCAAAATCCATACATAATTTATTATTTTTTACTAATTTGCCAATTAAAATTACAATTTTTAAAATTTTTTAAACAATGGAGGTGCTATTTTGAATGTACCATCAGCTGTCCATACATATTTATCAATACTTTTATTTTTTTGTTTTTAATTTTAACTTAATTATATAGTAGAAGTATTTTATATTATTATTTTCATACGTTAGTTTTAAATTTTATAAAATAAATTAATGTCTGCTAGTCAAATATTTGTTATTTATTTCAGGATTTTTATATTTTATAGATTAAGAACTTATTTTCTAATGGAAATAAATCTAAAATAATAATGATCAACCAATCAATTATATTTATTATTCCTTATTATACTTAATTATTCCTCATTATTATTTATTATTAACATTATTTCTATGAATACTTAACTATTAGTTTAGTTTCGAAATCTATATATATTTATATTTAATAACTTTAAAATTATTAATTTGTTTAACAATTTCAATTTTTTAATTATATGCTTTATTTTATGACCTCAAGAAGATTAATTCTAGTTCCGAATGTTGTTTACATTGAAAATTTATTTTTAAAAATTTTTACTTTTGTTATATTTTTTAATTAGTATAATATGTATTTATATATTTTTCATTCATTTTTAATCAATCGTTATTCGATACTAAAAATTTTTTTTATAAAATAAAATTAACTTTTATTTAATTTTATTTTAGCTAGTTCACTAGTAATTTATAATTTAAAAGTTGTTTTTAATTTTTTTTCTGTATTTTGTCTTTCAAAATGTTTACAATGTTTTTATTAATATTTTAATTAATAATTAGGCCAATTAAAAAATTTACAAATATTATATTTATTTTTATTGATGTCTGTAAATTTCGAATATATATATTAGATGCTGAAGCATTATATGGCGCAACATCAATCATATATCAAATATTATTTAAAATTTGAGTAAATTTGTTATTATTAAATTGCTATTACGAGTTTGAAAACTTATATTTTCAATCCTAAATATGATATTTTGAGTTTTTCAAATAATTGGTAAATCTCATTGCAATTTTAAACTCCCATTTATTAGTAACATTTATATGTTAGATAATATTGAGCTAGTTTAAATTTGATTATGTGATTTTTCATCTGTAATATTTATTTTTAAGGAAATAGTATAAAACAATTTTAACATACTATTTATTGTAAGATATGTAGTATTGTAAAAAATTTATTAATATTTCTCTACGTATCAAATTTTACTATTTTAAGAAATATTTCTTCTTACTTAATTTGAATATGTTAATATAAATATTTCTTTTAGACTTTCTAAAACATTTTTTAGGTGAATTTTTAACCCAGCACTAAGCTCAGCCTACTCTATTAAATTTAAAAATTATCTTTTTAATTTTTAACATAATTCGTCCATGATTATATGTTTATTTAAAAATTTGTTAACTCAACATTCTTCATCAATTTGTATTAAAGTTTGATTATCAACATAAACCGGTATAAAAAATATAAATTATTACTATTGTTTTAATAATTTTCTAATTAAAATTAAAACTTTTTAAATTTTTTGAACAATGCGGGTGAAATTTTAAATGTTCCATCTCCACTCCAAACATTATTTGATATTTATCACTTTTTTTTTATTTATTTTTGTTTTTTTTTTCATTTAACTTAATTATTATAGTAGGAGGATTTTATATTATTATTTTTATTTGTTAGTCGGACCAATTAATTATTAAAGTTCAATTGGTAAAAATTTATTAATTTTATTAATATTAATAACATTAAAATGTATCCGGCTAGCTAAACCAGAATTATCTAAGTTATCTATTTTCATGTAATTTTTGAATTTGTATGGCTAATTTATGCTAGTTTAGTATGTTTTAACATCAACTTAAACTGTGAACAAATTCATTTTATTTATATATAAAATTTATATTGTTTTTATTTTTTTATATTCCACTTATATTTTTCATTTTAATTATAATTTTAATAATACCATAATTATTACGATTAATCTCGGTTTTTGTCGTTTTAAATTCATTCTTTGATTAGTTTTTACTTATTCTAATTGTATGTCTATTATAGATTTAATAACATTATAAGTTAACGAATTTAAAAAATAATTTTTATAAATAAAATAAAATTTATAATTTTTTAAAATAAACTTCTTTTTATTATATTTAATTTTATTTGTTGTTAGAGATTACAAAGAATCTCGAACGTAGTGTTTGCAAGATATCGCATAGTACAATTTAATGTAATGAAATTAAATTGCCAAAAATTTCCTAAGCGAATACATTACTACTATACATACATATATTGAATGGTGCTCTGTAGTCTCGTCAAAGGTTAGTTTCGTCAGAGGACATTTTCGTCAGAATCAGTTTCGTCAGAGGCCTTTTTCGTCAGAAAACAGTCTCGTCAGATGGTTGTCTCGTCAGAGATAAGTTTCGCCAGAGGCCCTTTTCGTCAGTAAAGCTCCCTTTTTAAAACTCTAATTACACGACGGTTTTTAACTTATACTAGGTTTTTTGTTTCTGGACGATTTGAACAAATGAGGTGTCATTCGAAGGAGCTAAGAAAGCTGATTTTTGGATGGAAAATTCTATTTTATAAATGATAGCTCAACCGACTCAGCTCGATGAGTTGAATCGATTCGACGAACTGAGCTTCACTACACCATTTTTCAATATTCAGGAGTCTGAAAATCGGCCCCAGAATGTCGGATAAACTTCTTCCACAACTAATTCGACTCAGTTTTTAGAGCTCTTTCGAATGACACCTCATTTGTCCAAATCGATCCAGAAACAAATAACCTATGATAAGTCATAATACCGAAGTTTAATTAAATTTTAAAAAGGGAGCCTTACTGACGAAAAGGACTTCTGACGAAACTAACCTCTGACAAAACAACCCTTTGACGAAACTGTTCTCTGACGAAAAAGGCCTCTGACGAAACTGATTCTGACGAAAATGTCCTCTGACGAAACTAACCTCTGACGAGACTACCGGACACGTATTGAATACCTTTAGAATTATTTATTTGTTTAACAATCTCAATTTGTTTAATTATAGGATTTATTTTATGTCTTCCAGAAGAAGTATTCCAGATCCGAATGGTGTTCACATTAAAAATTTATTTTTAAAAATTTTTACTTTTGTATATTTTTTAATTAGTATTATATGTATTAATTTATTTTCATTGATTTTTATCAATCTTCATTCGATACATAATAAAAATATTTTTTTTCTTTTTATTTAATTATAAAATTAGACTATCTAAAAAATTCATACCGATATACCGAAACATAATGTAATTTTGAATAATTATTTTTATATTAGCAATAATTTACTGGTAAATATGTATAATATTTATTTCTAATTAATTTTTTATTTTAAATTAATAAAAGTTGGTTAATAAATAAAAATATTAAAAATATAAATAATATTTAATCATATTTTGATTTTTTAAAATAATTTTTTGATTTTTAAAGTCATTGTCATTTTGATAAATCAACAGACTATTTATATACAATTAGTCGACTAAATCTATGTATAATTTATTTAGTGATAGTTATTTTATTATAATTTATGATTAAAATCAATTATGTTATGTTTTTGATCATAAGTATTAATATATGATGTACATGTTTTATATTATTTGTTCTTGACATGAATTAATATGTGTACATAATTAAATTAATAAAAAATAATATTTAAGATAAAGTAGTTAAATAAGAAAATAATACATATTATTAGTTTTTAATAATAAACGGCAATGTCTGTTGGTAAGATTGACATATGTATATGTTAGTTTATAGAAGACAAAAAATACATATGCATATGCAGAGTAAAAAAGGAAGCCAAACCCATTTTTCTCACATTTACTGCAAAAATTTTAACAGTCTGTTGTAAATTAGTAAATCAATACTTTCCATTTTTATTCTCAATGTGAATGGGAGCGATTAGATAAAAAAGGGTGAGGGGCAAAAGGAAGAATTCCAAAACACGGAACAGACAGAACACGGAACGTCAAAACGCGATTTTACCAAAACGAGGAACGACCGAAATACGGACCTTACCAAAACGAGGAACAAACAAAATACGGACCTTAACAAAATGAGGAACAGACAAAACACGGAATGGCCAAAAGACGGAGCTACCAAAACACGGTCCAGAGAAATAATCGTAAAATTTTGGTATACGACACAGACGCCGATTAAGTCGATTGATATGTCATTCGAACGCTCACGGCGACCGTAACGAAGCACGGCCATCGTGTTTTTTATCCCAAAAATCCCCCCATAAATTTGACCATGCCCGGCCTACCCTTTTTTGATCATTTCGAGCCCTGTATCCCGGCCCACAGTTGAGTCCGCCGCCTAATTTTTGTGTATTTCGAGCTATTTCGAATGACATATTAATCGACCTAATTGGCGTCTGTGTCGTATACCGAAATTTTTCCGAAATAATAATTATTTATGATTAAACATAAAATATTTTAAATATCATCAAAAAATGATTATTTAAACATGATAAGATTTTTAAATCAAAATATTTTTAAATATCAGAATTTTTTAAATTCCGATTTTTAAAAAAGTTCTGATTTTAAAAATATTTCTAATTTAAAATCAGTATTCTGATAGTTTTTTGATAATATTTAAAATATTTTAAAATCATAAAGAATTATTATTTCCCTGGACGCTGTTTTGCTCGTTTCGTGTTTTTGAAAGTTGAAAACAAATAAAACAATACATAAAAAAGTCTTAATGTGTGGTAAAAATGACAGTATAAGGATATTATTATTTATTTATGCTGAAAAATTTCTTTTTGTTGTTTTCACCAATTCTTGAATGAACAGTGTGCGCTTATTTTCTTCATTTTACTTAAATTAGAATAATTTTTCAAAATGCTATTAAATTAAAAAAATTATGTTAAAAACAATAAATGTTGTTAAAATTGATTTTAAAATATTTGTAAATTAACAATTTTTGCACGAAAAATGCTATGCGAATAACAAATTTTTAGATAATTTTTATCATCGTATTTTTTAGAGAAAATTGATATCTTTATGAAATAAAATCTTTAAATAATTCTGTTCTGTTTCATAATTCTGTTTTTCAAATTTAATATAAGTTTAATAGTACCATAATTATTGCGATTAATCTCTTTTTTCTACGTTTAAAATACATTCTATGATTTCTTTTCCATTATTCTAATTGTGTGGCTAATGTAAATTTTATTACATTATTATTTAAGAAATTTAACAAATAATTTTTTCTAAATGAAATAAAATTTAATAGTTTTTTTAATAATGTTATTTTTTACTATATTTAATTTTGATTTGTAATTTAGGTTTGAATTTTAAATTCATTGCTATTTAATATTATTATATGTATATGCCGGTAAGAGAAATAAAAGGGAGGAAAAATTACAATAAATGACAAATTTGTAGAATTGTGGCCAATTTCGGCGGAACGGGCCAAAGTTTAAAGAAAAATTCGTTTTGAACCGTTTCGGCAAAAATGTGTCAAAATTGGTTGCACCATATTATCTTTAGGTTGAGCATTTAAAAAATAATAATCATAAATATAAGTTATAATTATGATTTTAAAATATCTTTATTTTTTGCAAATTATATTTATTAATAACTTAATAAATATAATTTTGTAGAAAATAACTTAATAAATATAATTTTGTAGAATTGTGGCCAATTTTTGCGGAACGGGCCAAAGTTTGAAGAAAAAATTATTTTTGGCCCGTTCTGGCAAAAATGTGTCAAAAGTGGTTGCACCGGATTATTTCCAAGTTGAGCATTTAAAAAATAATTATCATAAATATAATTTTTAATTATGATTTTAAAATATTTTTATTTTCTGCAACAATATATTTATTAATAACTTGAAAATCTAATATCGATTATTCAATAAATTTTGTATATTATAAATTATTTTTTATTACAAGTAAGAAACCATATTATTCACATCTGTCGAATACTATTTTTTCCAGTATACATTATTTTTTAAAATCATTATATTGCTTCATTATTCGAAATATTTCTGAGCATAATTTTTAATTTCATAAATTTATAAGTACAAAGTAATTTAATTAAGACAATTTTGTTAAACTTTTAAAAATTTAAATTTTGAATGACAAATATACTTTTTTTCAAAATTTTTATAGTATTTTATTCAATAATTATTGTCCAAGTGCACGCCGAATTGCTGTTTATCGCCTGTCAGTACGTTTTTCAACTTTTATTAATTAAAATAAAATTTTTCTATATCACAGTATATTGTAGATCAAACAAATTATTTAGTAATGCTTTTTGATTATTCTGAAAAATCATTTAATCAAATTAATAGCAAACAATTTCTTAAAACAAAGTTGATTTCTAATTAATTAACATTTTACTATAATCATTGATTATTTGCTGTCTAATCTTTTATTGTACGTATTAACTCGTAGAGATCATTAAATTTTTACATCATTATTGTTGTTCTATTTCCCTCTAATAGTTTTGAAATATGGTGTACTATATTTGATAACATTTTTTCATTATTTCGTTCACTTATAATTTTTAATTATATCATAATATAGCATTTAAAAAACTTCTACATATTTATGTTTTTATTTTGTAATTTCATGAATGCAATCGTTTATTGAAATTTTATATAAAATTATATTGTATATTTTAATTTGTATAATAATTAGATTTTGATCAAATATCATTTTCAATTTATGTTACTTATTATAATTAAATGTCAAATAGTTCGTCCTTGTAGTATAGAGTAATTGGTGTGACAACTTTTAAAATAAATTAACAAATTTTATGTAAATACTTTTTGATTTGCAGAAAAATTACTATTAAGCATGTTCATATCAATTTGTTTCAATGTACTTTAACAGATTTTATACCAAAATTCAAAATTTTCATCCAAGAAAATATTCTTAAATTTAATAAAATTACTGAATTAATACTTCTTTCGATAAGAAGTCGATTAAATATGGCAATTATAATCCTTTATTAATTGTCTTGTCACCCATTACAGGCATTAAAAGCATAAACGCTCATTACAGATCAAATATAATTTTACTTTACTTTAATTTTGATGTTTTTTATAAACAAATAAGGCTTTAATATAAAATAGCAAAGAATCTCGGCCGAAGAGCGACACGTTGTCACGCGTCAGCTTATGTTGTCACGCGTCTCCAAATCTTTTTTAATTATCAAATGGTTATGCTTGAAAACATGAATTGCAAAAATTTTGTATGATATTAGAATCTAAAATTACATAAGCCTCATTATTTTTATCAGTAGTTTTAATTAAATTTTTAATTAATTCTTTTAGAAATACATGTAAATATAGTTTTATTGATAATTGTAATGTAGTAAAAATTTAATAAAAAAAATCATATAAAATCTAAAATAAAATATTTATTGATGAGATTAATTTAGCTAAAATATGCTTTAGAAGATTAAAAATCTTATCAAATCTGCATCGTTATTTTTTCTGCTTTTAGTTTAGTCTAATCATAGCGTTTAAAAATAAATTTTTGTAAAAGCAAATTTTAAATATAAACAGATATGATTTAGTTTAATTATCTACTAAACTTTTAAAATAATTTTGAGATTTCACATATAAATTTTTAATCAAATAGTTTTCTTTATTTTGTAGAAATACATATAACGAAGCTTTCTTATTTTTATATTAATAGAATCAGGATTACGCATTTTTTATAATTAATAATAATTTATTATACACGTTCAATCCCGACACACCAAGCTTCTCTTTCCATTGGTAATTATTTCCACAAGCAATTGTTTCTAATTTTTATATCGATTCACAATCAGATCATTCAGCATCATATCATCATCAGTCCGTTTTTTCAGATCTTGAGCTGCCAAAGCAAATGTCTGAAACATAAATTTTTTTGATATTTGAATGTAAATTTATTCTATTGGTATCATTATTCTATCAGTAATTTTAATTAAAATAAATTTTTAATTTATTTTTTGTTATTGATAGAATTAAAATTAATAATAAAATTTAATAAAATTATTAAATAAGATCTAAAATAAAATATAAGTATTTATAAAAAGATTAATTTATATAAAAATGATTTTCGAATTCTTGATAATTTCATCAAGTCGATCCTTGTTATTTCTGTTAACAAAATAATTAAATATTCAGCTATTTTTATTTTGTCATCTAGTATTTATTTGTATTTGTATCATTTATTATGTATTTTTGAATGACTGAACTATGTAAATTTTTTTAAAAGATAGTTGCTGTTTAATAACTTATAATAAATAATTAATTTATTTGCATTTATTTTTTAATCAACGTCTTAGACAATATCATTTTTTATTTTTTAAATTAAAGTATTTAACATTTAAATAAATTATTTTTAATTTAATCGTAATAATATATTTTATAAGCCAATTGCAATTAGTCATTTAATTAACAATATGTATAATGAAATTAAATAATTATAACAGAATATTTAATTTATAACTGTGTTTTTTTGCAAATTGTCAATTATGATTGTTATTTTGAAATTATTCATTAACTATTATATAAATTTATTTGTTTAATGTTTATTAAATTAATTTTGTTAATTTCCAGCTCTTCGGAATAAAAGGATCCTTTTGAAGAACTAATAAGAAAAATATTATTCGAAATAAATTATCATTAATTTTACCTATTTATTAAAAATACTAATAAAATTTATAAATTCAATATTTATTTAGTAAAATGTATATTTTTAATTTAGAAAAATAGTTTACACATAAATAACCTTTTTTTATTAATAAAAAAATTAATTATCATTAATTTTTAATTAATTATAATTTATGTTAAACTAAAAATAAGTTTTAACCATTCACTATTTATTATATTTAAATTTTTAATATTTATTATATTTTCATAAACATTTATGGAATCCTGGTAATCAGGGACCCTTACCCAGCCCCCTACAGATCGTCGGGCATACCTATATAATGCAATAATAGTTTTATGCTTTTATTATTTTACAGATTTTGAAATTTTCTTTAACGTTATTTTAGCTACGTTAGCTTTGACGTTAGCTCTTCCATTTTAGCTATTTTGACTTGATTCAAAATTATACATTTTTTATTAGTATAAGAATATTACTATAAGAATATAGTTATATAGTTATTATAGTTATTTCTATATTATATTTATTACTATAAGAACATATTACAATAAGAATATTTTTTAATTGAATTATTATAATAGCTTTGTTCATATAT